ACAAGATTGGTTGTATTTTGTCAATTTGAAGAAGCTTGTTTGAATTGGTATATAAGTTCAAGAGGAGTTTAGTAGTCAATTGGTTTGCAATTCTTTCCTTCTTATTTACTTATTGTTATGTTGTGATTCTTAAATTGCTTATCTCTTTTACTTCTCTCAAGTGATATTGTTCATTCATTGATTGATTCATTGTATGATCACTTAGAAAAGAGAGCAAGTACTCAAAAAGTGACTCACAATTTGACTAGTTTTTAAACTATCGAATTCACTCCCCTCTTAGGTTGTCTTTGATCCTTACAAATGGCATGACTTTCTTTTTGACTTTCCACAAAAGAAGTCAAGTTATTAAACTACAATTAAGAGAATCACAACAGTGAGTCATTTTTACATGCAAGGTGTGTAAAGTCATTTGGTAGTACAAATAAATTTCATGCCTGTACTCAATATTTTCAGGTTGTTGATAGTTGTTGACAATGTTAATCCTCACTTACAGCATTGGGTGGAGAAGTGATAAGGCTTAAAATCATTCAATTGAAACTTTCGTAGCTTGAATGTAACCACGTGCAGGAAAAGAGAGAGGCAGAGTTTCAGTAATGTAATTAAAGCACAAAGCACAAGATCCCTTAACATTGTGATCAGCTGAGGAACCCACTCTTACTAAGTGAACAAATGCATTAATACTTAAGGCAGTACCAACTGAACAAGCAAACTCTTCATCAACCTCAAACAACAGAATGTGGAGTAAATGCATAACATGATACAATATCAATCACCACTATTCAAAACACCAAACCATTCATTCACAATACTATGCCACTTATATGTCCCCAACCCCACCTTTCCCCTTTTCCTCAAACGAACATTGATCCCCATACCTAGAAGAAGCAAGTTTGAGCTTAAGCTCTGTCCTTGAGGCTTCATTAGTTCTACATTTTATTTTTCCTTATACATTATTGTAAAGAAAGAACAATCAACATAAAAGTTAGTTTAAGTAGAAAAAACCCAATTAACTTTATAAACAAAACTTACACTATCATCATGCCTTCCTTAAGAAAGTTTATGCAGTTTGTAAATTTTAGTAAACATGTAAATTCAATTTAAAAATGGAATGGACTTCTTTCTGAACATGCAACAACTAAACCGCAAACAATTGACAAGATAATGAACAAGAGTGCCTGAAATGATGCCATGAAGATGATCTTCCAATGATCCCAAGGGCATGAACTAATAGACAAGTAGCCTTTGGTCCTCATTAGCACAGTAACCGATTAAATTTACAAGGTTAGAATTATATAAAAGACTAAACACAAGAACCTCAACCAAAAATTCCAGGTTACCCCAAAGCCTATTTCTATCCAATTGCTTAACTCCAACAACCTGTCCATTCCAGTAATCCAATTAATTAGCAATAATAAACTTGAAAAGCAGCCAGAAAAGAGGCGTTTCTAATAAAATCAATATTGCCTTTTTTAAAAAATGTCAGGAAAATCCAGAAAAAAATTCTATGAAATGAAATAATTAGGAAAAAAAGTAGAGAAAATCGCGCATACCTCACTCTACTACTTTAGCTTGAAGATCTAGAGTTGAAACTTTTCTTTCAGGTCATCTCTAAGAGGGCCCAAAAAAGGAGGACATATTGGTTAAAAATTAGAAATAAACAGAAACAAAAATAAAGAGACATTTTTGAACAAAAATAAAATAGCTCAGACCCAGCTGTACTCTTTTGCCGCAGGTACAAAGGATCAACCATTTTTTATGCAAATAAAGCAACACTCTTGAGCCAAAGATTGTTCCGATTAAGTGAAGAAAATGATCCGAGGAGCTCGTTATATAGAATGTATCATACAAGATGGGCAAAAAAGAGATACGTTCAGTGGATCGGACCTTCCTCTCCATGGACTGGATCAAAGTAAAGTCCACCGAGCCAGAATCATTGACCCCTGTTGCTGTAGGGATGCAGAATTCCCGATGAGATATGATCGGAACAACTGTCAATCCGATGCGAAAGGGAAGCTTGACATTCGAAAATATAAGAGCACTAAAATGACTTTCTTTCCATCTTGCTCGCAGAGATACGAAAGCACAACAGCAAAAGAGATGGCACCCGCGCAACCACAGAGCAAACTGTCCACGAGTATTTTCGGAAGTCCATCTACGATCATGCAGGAGAAAGGAAAAATAACGAAAAAGAATGAAGAAGAAATGAGAGATGAAACATTTTGGAGAGAAAGATGGCGGTGGAGCTTCCGAGGAGAGAAAAGAAAGAGAGGGGTGTGTAATCTCCATTCTTTACCCTAGATATCTATTTTTACTTTTGAAACGATGCCGCTTATCCTAGCATGTGACCAGCAAGAGGGCCGATGAAAACAGCATGTACTTCAGACCTAAACTATTCCTTGGCTCTTATTCTATATATGTTGAAAAATCATACTGGAATGGATTTTTTTTCTTAATATGTAATATGTAATTCTTATACATTTAGACATATAGACAATTCTTGTACATTTAAATGTTCTAACGTAAAATATCACAAAACTTTTCATTCATATATATTAGACAGTTTTAATAGGACATTAACTATTAAACTCTTATAAATAATAGCCATAATTATTAGAAATAAAATTATTTACACAAAAAATTACTCCATGCATGTACTACGGTCCTATTTCTGATATCAGAAATAAAATATCACAAACAAACTAGTCCGTGCATGTGCTACGGTCCTATTTGTATTTATAGATATTAATTTCTCAACTAAGATGACAAATTACACCCAAAAGCGAAAAAATTTGGAAAATTTTGTATTCTTGCCTTAACGAACAGTGAACAGATCCAAGGATCCATCTACAGATTTCCATCGCAAATCTGACTCGATGGATAATCTAGTCCAGCCATCCACTTTAAAAAAAAAGGATTTTCCCTAAGAAAAAAATTTATTCCCTTGAAGTTTGGCAAAATTTATGAACTAGACCCTCAATTTTGGCCAAATTACACAAAGACCCCACAAAACGGTGCCCAGTCGATTTGCCTTCAACATCACGTTATAACACCCACAACCTAAATCAGCTAACTATTTAAATGCTGCATTACTCCAAAGCATAATTAATAATAGAGCAAATTATTCGGATGGCTATTAAATTTTTGGAATCGTCCAGCTTGGCTCACTAAACCATTAAAAGTTTAGTTTTACTACTAAACTGTCTAAAGTTTAGATTTTATCGTTAACCATACATTTTCTTTTGTCTCGTGAATCATGCGAGCACTCATTATATCATGTCTAAATATTAAATCTAATGGAATAATCCGGAATCTAAATTTTACATAATTCAGTTGTCAAAATCAGATTTTTAGTAGTTCAATAGTCAGAACTCAAGGACTCCAAAAATTTGAGGGTCATCCACATAGTTTGGTCTTAATAACAAGCTTGCATAATCTTCATCGAGACTTAGTCTTAAAATTTTCAAAATAACAAATTTTGAAACCATGAAAACTCAACTTAAAGGATAATAATAAACAAGTGTAAAAGTATTAGACAACTTTAAAATAAGAAACATCCCCATTAATTAATGCCTTTCCAACAAAAGGCAATTTGCAACTTCATTGCCTTTTTGCTTCCACGAACATAGTCAATCAGGGCAGATCCATGGTAGCTGTGGTACACATACTCGGAGAGGATGGTAGCAAGAACAATTGTTTGAACTCTTATGCTTCATGTACGCATTTGACTTTGAAAATTGAAAGTCCCTAAAAAACATTAGAATAAAGATGATGGATTTTTAGGATATATAGAAGAGAGTGAGAGAGGACATATAATACAAAAATTAATATACAAGAAAGTAGGATCAGTTTTTTGTTTTTTAATTATTTTGTGGTCAAGGGGATAGACTCCAAGTTTTAGAAAGGAATAAAATTTGGAGAGTCGAACCAAACATCTTACAAATTACAATCAGATTAATATCCCGCGAGTTAAGTTAAATTTTAGAGACGAAGCTATGATATGTATTCAGAATGAAATGAACATTCCTCCCAAGAAAATAAAACTATCTGGACCCATGTGTCAATTTGAATAAAACTAATGGACTTGCCTTGGGAACAGCGCCCGGACCACTAGAGCCCGGCCCCAGTACGAGTCACTTGGATGTTGTCAATGTGATAGAGATTGTCCTCTGGATAAGCAACTAAGCACCACCCTGGGATTAGATACGAAGATTTTATTTATTTATTTATTATTTTAACTGATATTAATGTTCACACTTTAAAATCGCAGATAATATTGTTCATTATGTAGGTTACTTAAAATCACATTAAAAATATCACAAGTAATATCTGGTAATCTAACTATTTGATAGATTTATCTTGTACAAATGCTGTAGCGCTATGAATATGTTTGGCTTCAAATTACTTTCATATTGAAATTCACTCTAATTATAAATAAATAAAGAAATAATTCATAATTCCTCTAGAGACTCAATATCCAGCTAAAAAAATTTGAAAGTGATTGGTAAGAAGGAAACATGAGTGATTGATCCACAGACGTAGTGAGGAGAATTTCTCCTTTTAACATCGCCACATTTGGTTATTTTATTTTGTTTTAATGTTTGGGATTGAAATTTTTTTAAAATAATTGTGTCACAAATCAAACCATTTGTTTAGAAAATGTGCGACACAAACCATTTTTTTTTTTAAATAGTCAATTGTCGCATCTGAACGACTGATTCAGATTTAAATTTACTCGGGGATTATTCTGGTAACTTTTATTTTGGTAATGGAACATTAGAGCCAGATTATCGAAGTACAAACTCATACTTTTGCATAATTTAGTGATCATGGATTGATACTTGTACTATATGTTTAAAGAAAATAACCGTAAAAAAGATGGCAAGACCGAATCTAACAACCACACCAAAAAAAAAAAAAAATTTACATATTCCACATGGGCAGAAGGGGTGGCGGAATCTAACAACCACACCCAAAAATTGCATATTTAGGAGAAGCAAGAGAAGGGCCAATAGGCAGAAACACAGACCAAAAAAAAAGCGACTTTTAAAAACGAAGAAGACAAAGAAACCGGGGCACACAAGGGGAGGGAGAGACTGGCAGGAAGAGATGAGAAACGGCAAAGGAAGACAGTATTGTTACAGAGAGATTTTGCCATTTGCAGCGATGGTAATAGTGGAGTGTGCCAACGTGGGTAATAGCACTCTGTTTAAAGCTGCCTCTGATCAAGGAATGAGCTTCATGGTCTTCGTTGTCTACTCTTTCGGTTTATGCAGTCTCGCTCTCATACCCATCGCCTTCATTTTCCACAGGTATATAGGTCAAATTTAATTTGTCCCCTTACCTCTGGGGTCTTGCCTATATATTGCTACTACTTGTGTTGCAGGAATACTCCGCTTCCTCGGTTCACTTTACCAGTCTTTGGTAGAGTTTGTCTTCTTGGCGTTCTTGGGTAAGGATAAAATTCCTGAGTTTTACAATAGCATTTGTGAATTCCATGCTTTTTGGTGAATTTTTACATGAGTATTACCCCATGTTTTTATATTGGTATTCCTGCTTTTTGATTGTATCTTGTTTCTGTGACCAGATTTGCAGCTCAAATGCTTGGTTGTAAGGGGCTTGAATACGGTTCGCCTACTCTATCTTATGCTCTCAGCAATCTCCTACCAGCTTTTACCTTCGCACTCGCCATTATCTTCAGGTGATTCGTAAGCTAGTACAGTTCCGCTACCATCTTAAACAGCCTGAACTCTACCCACAATTATTGGAGGAAGTCCCCAGTGAAATTGATGGTCCAAATACAACTTTCCATTTGTTACTGTCTAGAGTCTGAGTTTGTATCAAAACAACTTGAATTTTGATTTGAAGACTGATTTTCTTTGCTTTTTAATTTTTTTTTTGGTAGAAGAGATATTGCTATTGTCCTTAGCAACCAACCAAAAAGGGGGAAAACTAGTAATTGCTCATTACTCAGGGAGATGTGACTTTAACATCTGAGTTCCATAATTCAATTGGAGAGTTAGAAACTGAATCTTGTAAACGGAGTAGATAGCCAAATTGAGTGAGAACCAAGTAAAAGTTGACTAATCTGATAGTTAGAAATTCAAATTAACTTACAAAGAAAAATTGCGGAAGCACAAACTGGGGATGAATACAGGGCAGTTATGAGTTGCAATATGTTTCATTTGCTTTCTTCGTCTCTGGTTGTTCTTTAGTTCTGGTTGGGGGATTTTTCCATATAACTAATGATTTCATCTCTACTTGTGCTGATTTTTTAAACGTATATGCCCGAAATCAGAATGGAAAAGCTGGACTTAAAAAGTTTTACCAGTCAGGCCAAAATCCTAGGCACTTTGGTATCTATATCAGGTGCACTAGTGGTGGTTCTGTACAAAGGTCTGCCAGTCATAAGAACTTCTTCACAATACCAATCTCTTAACCAGCCTGTGGGATTAGTATCATCACAATCAAATTGGGCTCTAGGAGGCCTTCTCCTTGCCTTAGACTATCTCGTATTGTCCATTTGGTACATTGTTCAGGTAATATTATTTGTACATTTTTTTCCCCTCAAACTGCTAATTGTTGCCCAGATACAGCAGATAGTGGAATATTTTGTCCTTATTGATTTGCAGACTCAGACGGTCAAGATGTATCCAGCAGAGTTTCTAGTTGTACTTTTCTACACTGCAGGTGTGACGATTGTATCTGCTCCAGTGTGTTTCTTTCTGGAGCCGGATTTAAAAACTTGGAGTATATCGACAACAATAATGCTTATCTCACTTTTATATGCTGTAAGAGTCCTTAGAAACCAAAATCAGGAAAACTTATATGTTCTTGATCAAGGTTTGATAATGATCTTCAGGGCTCTTCTCTTTTGTAGGCAATCATTGGTACAGGTTTTGGTACAGTTGTACACACCTGGGGCCTGAAAGTAAAAGGCCCCGTCTATGTAGCATTATTTCGACCACTGTCGATAGCCATTGCTGCTTTCATGGGTGTTGTTTTCCTTGGTGATACGCTCTATCTTGGAAGGTATGAAGAGTACATTTTTTTTCTTTCTAGATTTCCCTTCTCCTTTAGTCTGTTTTACTTTACAGTCAGTCAATCCGATTCAGGTTACAAATATCACAATTTTCTGAGACTTGTTCTTGTTCTAATTTCCAGTGTGATTGGAGCTATACTGATTTCCATCGGATTTTATGTCGTCTCGTGGGGAAAAGCGCAAGAGGAAATGAGTGAGGACGGGGGAGTTCTCAGAATTGAGTCAGCTGCCTCTGAAAATGTCCCTCTATTAGGATGAAGTTGGTTATGCATAGATAGTAGGTAATATTTCCTAAATTACAAATAAAATTGGCAGTTATACTTGAAGGTGGAAACTAGGCAAATGGAACGGGATGATGATGGATTTTTAAATTTCATCCTCCCATTTCCAGAGGGCTAGCAGCTAAATATATGTATTTGTATGCTACTAGTCACTAGTGGCTCTGTAAGGAAAGCATATAACCTAGAAGAAGGTCCTTTTGACTGTTTTTTGTCTTCCGTATATCAAATTACAAAGATTGCTAGTATTCTATCTAGAAGATTGGTAAAGAAATGATTCTCGGGGACTTAACAAACATCAACCGCCGGACATCGTTGACCGCCGGACATCCAGCTAATAAACTAGTTTTTTTTTTTTTTTTATCAGCAACGATACATCCAAGGGAGTGCTGTGGCACAACCCTTAAATTTTTTTTGCTCAAATGTGAGGTTTGAACCCTCACCAACAGCCCAAGGAGGGACTTAAGTCCCTTCCTGGTGGCCACTGAGCCAATGGCCCAGTGATTTAATAAACTAGTCATATAAAGGTTTTGTTGCGCCACGCGAGGCCGAATATTTCAACCACACGATAAACCTTTCTTTCTTTTTCTTTTTTTTTTTCTCTTTCTTGACGGACCATTTCTTCCCTGTTCTATAACCTAATTCAACATTTACTTTAATGGATTTAAGATCTTAACATATTGAAACGTATATGATAACAAAAAATAAAACATCTTAATTAATTGAATGCTACTTAATTTCCTAAACAAAATTTGTTCTTAACAATAAATGATAAGTTATTCACTTATTATTTAATATAATATATATTTAAACGTATCAAATTTATTACTTAATAATTTAAATTTTAGATTTTAATTTGCAAATTTCAATTTCATCCAACACAGTGTTACTGTTCTTTGTTTTCTTACGTAACATCTCCAACCTGCAGCAAGGGCAAAAGTACAACAAACTTTGTATATAAAAACTAGAGGCACTATTATAACAAACAATTCTTTATTTCCTCCACTACCAATTGCCAATAAGGACAAATGCACACCAGCAAACAATTATGACTGCTTTATTTGTTGGCAAATAATGCAAGCATGTGAACGTTAACCAATGCCATAAGTCCACTCCTAATTATGTACATTTCGCACGTCAGCCTTGGGTGATGGCCACTAAATCATATGCGTGTGTTGAAGAGGAAAGTTAAGTTGGCAATTTGTACTACCTGCATCTTTTAGTCGCCTTGTCTGTTACTAAAATTATAGTGTAATATTATGTTGCATCAAGCGTATTCCCACGAGGGCGCATCAATTTAAGAAAACAATTGGTGGTTGTTAAGTAAATTGAAATGGTACATCTTTAGACCATATTTCAATTTTCACTTTGGTCTGGAGTATTGTGCTTCTTAAAATCTTAAATGTGTCTCACATTAGTTCAATTGTTAATAGAATAAATTAAAAGTTAATATAATAATTGTTACTCTCGATTAGCTTAATTGAAAGTGACAGTCATTTTGTTAACTTTTTATGATCTCTTAATGCTTAGACTAAAGTAGGATGAGTATAATAAAACTGCAAGGGAGCAAAATATCCCAAACTTGAGCTCACGAACCAACGTGAGAATTGGAACATGATTTAAAGGTGCAAATAGAATTGACACAATTTTTCCTTGTACGCCTTATGTGTAGTGAAGGCAACATCATTTGGGAAGGGTTATTTAAATTTATATTAAACTGATATCGCACCAAAATGGCGCTTTTCTGCATTACTAGTTGCTGGGTGTCGCGCGACCAGCGAGTATGCCTGGAATTTTGCCCCATTTTCCGTGAATTTTGTCATATAATTTTCAAAATCTATTAAAGAGAAATCCTGGCAAGTACTATACGAGTTGAGAACAACAGGGAAAATCAGTGTCCGCCATCAAATGGGTCTAAAGAAAAAAGCAGACAAAACCAAGATAATTTCATGAAAGCAGCATGACGTTTGACTCGCGCCATCATTGAAATGAATTGACAAAGTCAGTTTAACCAAAAGAACTCTCGTTATCTGTTACTTCTACACCTCTTAGTTTTTGAGCTTTTGCATTACTTCCTATTCCTAGCATGGCAAAATAGTAGCTAGAACCTAATTTGTGACTTGGATTCCCCTGTTTATTTTCTTCCCCTTGTCAATTTGTCCTTCTTGTCCAGTTTAGGTAATGTAGCCACCAACGTGTTGGTGTAATTGATACGAAAACACACGAGAGTGCAGAAATTTGTATTACAAAAATCTCACTTAGAAAGTGGGGTGAAGATAATGATCTTGAGACGTATTTGACATTATCTTTGTAAGCAAAGTCTCTCCATATGTCCCGTTTACTTACAAAACCTATATTGAATGTTAGGTGTAAGTTAACAATATGTTGAAAAATGTGAGGTTTTCTTATAGTGTGGACATAAAGGATTTTTTCCAGTTTTCTTTTTTATCTTTGCTATTTTTCTCCTGCTTGTTTATGTAACCTTATTGAATTTGATCCTTATTTGTTGCTTGAAAGGCACCTTCAATGACTTCCTCAATTCTTATGGTTCTTCTTTGTTTTGGTGCTTCTAAAGCATTGACCAATTTTGACAAGGTCATTTAAAAGAGATCCCTTGAATTTCAAGATCTTGGCTTTAAACCTTTCTCGTAAACTCACCAAAACTTTCTCCACAACTCTGATATTCGGAAGTTGTTCTTCAATCAACTTGATTTTGTTCATAACATTTAAGAGTCAATTAGAGTACTTTTTAATATTTTCTGTTTCTTTCATTCTAAGGAGTTCAAATTCTCTTCTAAGGATCAAGACTTGCATTTGTTTTATTCTATCATTGCCTTGATAAGTGACTTTGAAAGCATCCCAAGCATCTTTTACAGTCTCACAAGCCATAATTTTTGCCATGATAATCTTGCTTAAGGTACGTGTACGCGATTAAAATTTCAAGTCTGTAAACAAAAACAAGAAATTTACATGACAAATGTGTAATATAAATTTAAGAAAATATGTGAGTACAATCTCTGGGATTTTCTTAAACTTGTAAAGAGTTTCCCTCGATTCTCCTCCTCTAATGCTAATCCAAGGGTTTCGCAGCTTGTTCTTGGATCCACCACCGGTTCCTTCAAATCTTGATATAGAAGATTTGAAGAACTTTATAAGATATTTGAAGACTCAAGTCTTGATATATGGGAGACTTGGAGAGCTTGAAGATCCAGGCCTTTGTAGCTTGGAGCTCCAATGCTTTGAGTGTATGAGATGCCTCTTGGTGTCTCTGTGTCTCTGTGTGTTTGATTTGGTTGAGAGACCTCTATTTATAGTTGTAGCAGGAGGTAGAGGTTGAAACCCTGTGTATTACTTTACTTGTCTTGCAAGACGTGCAGTCATATTAGGACTATACCAGTCAAATATTATCTCTTTATTTTATATTTATTAATAAAGAGATAAGTAATTTGTCGATTGGCCAAACTCGTGGGGACACGTGACATGGCGTCGTTTGACTGGACAAGCTATTGCAGTATATAAAAAATATACTTGGATTAAACAACTCTAAATATTATCCCTTTAATAAGAAATAAATACTTAGATATTTATCCAATAGGCATGTGATATGATATGATTTGGTTGGTGGAGATATCCCTGCAATTTGAATTGATCTGGAACACCTCAACTTAACACATGGTGAAATATAATTGGTTATTTAATAACCAAATTTTCCAAGTATACATGACATATGGCAATATCCGATTGGATAAAAATAAGTCATGAAAATAATTTATAGACCAATGGTAATTTTTAGAATTTAATTAAAATTTCATTGTCTACAAATGCCCCCTCGAAACTTGTGCGTGAATGCTGGATATCGGAGCAAATTTTGAACGAAAAAGTTTTGACATATATTTTTTGCTTCAATTTGAACACCGTTGACATATTAGTTTTCAAGTAAAACCCATAAACGGGCTAAACTTCAAACTTTGCAAACTTCATATCAATTACTTGTATCACATATGATAGTTACGTGGAATACCACCAAAGCATCCCCTATTGAGCTCAATTTCTAAGACCACTAGCGCTTCCAATTTCCCGAGGCCGGATTACTTCATATTGAGGTCTTATAATAGAGCTCGTGGATGGTCTTAAAGTTTTGCAATTCCGTAGCCTTATTCAAAGTTTTGCACTTCGTATATTAATTCGTGAACTTTGCTCATAAGATGGTTATGTGGGGTCCACCAATTCATGCAACATTAGTGATATCAATTCCAGGGTCAAACGTACCGTGCCAAAGCTTCAAGTCCGCTGTGTATCATCTGACAAGTTTCGGCGCTTCAATTTGCACTATGACTCTCTCGTGGCCCATAAGGCTTTTTCCATACCAACCATGATTGACCAATCCCAAGCCAAATTAGAATTCTTGACCGTGGCAAATTACTTTAGCCGGCGTAGTCTAGGAGACCTTTGACAAATCGGTTTCGGATCAATAAAGTCGATTTCAAAAGGGACTCAACTTTCTCACAGATTCGTGTGGAGGAAACTTTCTTCTTGGCTCAGATTTACACCGGCCCTTCCCCTATAAATAGCCACGTCTGGGCCACGACTGTTGATCGAGTTTTTTTTTTCCTTCAGCCATATCGTCAAGCCGCCATTACTGCACGGGACAGCCATCATCCGCTGCTTATACTCCAATAAGCACTTTCTATTTGTCAGGTACTTCAAGTTTTTTTTTCTTCACTCACAACATTTAATTGTTGCAAGGACTTTTGGTCAAGGCTCTTACGTGTTTCATCGTTTGATGCCTTGAACACGGTCAGCCCTTGGAATTTATTTGTCTACCTGACATGTGCTTTTGATTTGTATCCCCAACATATTACAATTTACAAGGCAACTTAGTCCTTTGATTTATATACTTAAAATAACGCCCAGCATGATATTTGAGCTATTCCTCATGGCTGAAAATTTAATCCCAATCTCCGTACCTTTTTTTTTTTTTCCTCATCTATTGGGATAATATCAAATATGATACTTGAGTTCCTTCTCTCTCTCTCTCTTTTTTTTTTTTTTTGCTCGTCCAGTAGGATAATACCAAATATGACATTTGAGCAAAATCTTTTCCCCTCTTTTGCTAGAACTCCGACCTTAATTGTTTTTCTCTTTTTTTTTTCCTGCAGTGCATGTCAATATTTTACTAACTTGTTCTCCTGTAGATAACTCACCTCGTGCTCGAA